TTCATAGCCTAAATGTAAAAAAAAAAAATCTTTAGAATTCAACATCAACCTTATATATGGTTAGGGTTTCATAGCATAAATGTAAAAAAAGAAAGCCCTGAGAATTCAACAACAACAGAAATAAACCCAATTTAAAAGTGGAAGGAAACTAGGACCGCAGCGTGCTGGTCAAGGTCATGGCTTGTTGCGAGGTCTGGCTTCAAAGCCCAGGCCCACACAGCATAAAAAGAACTAACAAATAATAAGCACAGGAGATGAACAAACCTTTCTCCATAAAGAAGGTGTAACTACAGACACAAAACTTTAAACCAAGATCTGTACGTCCGGTTTAATACCAGCATCATTCTGCAAATCAAAAGGTGGAATTGGTTCTCAAGTATCCATCAGGATATAAAAAGATAAACAAAGTAGATATACTGACATAATAGAATAGCTGTAAGCCTTTTAAAGAAAGGACACACAAACATGCATGCACACACATACACACACAAGAAACTTAAAGGCATTATGCTGAAAACCAATTCATAAAAGGCAAATACTACAAGATTTCAGGTAAATGAGGTATTTTGTCTAGTCAAAAGCATTGATACTGACATAACAGAATAGTTGTAAGCCTTATAAGGTGTGCACACACACATACAAGAATATTGAAGGCATTATGCTATCTAAACCAATTCATAAAATGCAAATACAACAAGATTTGAGGGAAATGAAGTACTTCGTCTAGTCAAAAGCATAGATATATCCAGGGGGTTCCAGAGTTAGGCAAGTGGAAAGCCGCTATTCAGTGTTTATAAAGAGTTTCCGTTTTACAAGATGAAAACAGTTTTGAAGATAAAAGATAACGACAGATGCACAACAGCATTATTGTATTTAATTCTTACCCAGCTACAAACTCTAAAATTGGTTAAAATGGTAAATTTTATGATGTGTATTTTACCACAAGTTCAAAAAGAAAAAATAATTTTACATCGGTAAATGACTTGAATAGATACTTCAAAGATAACATACAACAGCAATGAGCACATGAAAAAAATTAATATCACTAAAGAATAAGGAAACGCAAACCACAATCACACAGAGCTATCGTTTCATGCCCAAGAGGATAGATAAAGTAAGTATAATAAAAAGTAAGTGTGATAGAGAGAAATTGATAGAAGGGAAAATTTTGTAATAACTACAGAAAACAATTTGGGCAATTTGACAGCTCCTCAAAAAAGGTAAACAAAGAATTATCATATGGCCAGCAATTCTTCTCTTGGCTTTATATACACACAAGCAGAAAATAAATATTCAAAGAAAAGCAGAAAATAGGTATTCAAAGAAATGTGCTGTACTATTCAAGACAGAAAAGGGGTGAAGGGAACACCAGAAGTCTATCAATGAACAGAATTATTTTAAATATATACATTAATCTATACTAATCAAGATCCAGAGACTATAAAACCAAGCTCCCAGAAGAGAATGACGCAGAGTCCCCTGCCCCAGTGCCTGGATGTCCTCACCGGGAGCCCCTTGAAGGGGCTGGGGGGCGGGTTGAGTTTCCCTCCCTGCCCCAAGCAGAGCCCTGGCAGCTGAAGACCTCTGGAACCAGCCACAGCCATGCTTAAGACCACTCTCCACACGCTCAGATGAGCCTCACGCGTGAAGGAATCAGCAGAGGAACCAAGGTGTGCAGGACCCGGGACTGATATCTCTAAGCCTGCCTCTCTAAGCCTGCCTGGATCGGGACAGGGCCTCCTCCACCCAGATCCCCCATCTTCCAGTACCTAAACAGTTACACCCACCAACTGCCGTGTAATCCCATCTACGGCCAAGATCCAGAGACTATAAAACCAAGCTCCCAGAAGCACACAATGCGGCCTCGCGACCTCTTATTGTCTAGTTTTCGCTCTCAGAAAACCCGGCAGGCTACCAAAAATATCCTGCCCGCATATATGACTGACAGGGAACACCTGTAAAGGTGATTAGAGGCTGCCCCAAAAGCCTCCATCCCTCTCCGAGAGCTGGGCAAGCTACTGAGAGTATCCCACCCACACAACAGAGCCTGGCAAGCTACCCGATATGCCAAAAACAGTAACAGTGATGGTCCTCATTCCCCTGACCCTGGAAGAGCCCCCAATATGCCATCAGGCTACACACTAGCATGTGATGGGAACGAATGGAGATGTTACTGGCACCCGCTCAAGCAAATCAATAAACAAGATGACAGTGACAGTGACATTAATCTATATATATATATCACTGTATCACTATCATCCCATTGATCATCGAATTACTCGAGCGGGCACCAGTTATGTCTCTATTCCTCCCAGCCCTGATATTTTAGCATCCTCTTCTTACTCATCTTTTCCCAATAACTGGAGGCTCTTTCAGGGTCAGGGGAATGAGACCTGTTGTCATTACTGTATTTGGCATATCGAATACGCCACAGAGAGCTTGCCAGGCTCTGCATGTATGGGCAGGATACTCTCAGTAGCTTGTCAGGCTCTCCGAGAGGCATATATTTGTACATTTTTCTCTATTATTTGTTGGCTACTATCTGAACCCCATCAGATATGGTGCAGTAATAGTGGAAAATGGGTAGGAAGTGTCTTATAATGTGTCACGTGGCCGTGAAGCACGCGGTCTGGAAAGTGGCCTGGAGTGTGGCGGTGGTTGGGTAGTGGAGGTCAGCTGTTGGGGCTGGGTCCCTTGGGGCAGGGACGGCTCTCACCCATCTCACAGTCTGGCACAGAGTCCAGTGGTTCTGGGAGCCTTATTTTTATACTCTTGTCTGGGAGAAGCATCCTGAGTTCATGTATATATAAGTCTTATATATAAATATATGATATATCCATGCAACAAGATAATACTCAACTACATAAAGGGCTGGAGCGATAGCACAGCGGGTAGGGCGTTCGCCTTACAAGCGGCCAACATGGCCGACCCGAGTTCGATTCCTCCGCCCCTCTCGGAGAGCCTGGCAAGCTACCGAGAGTATTCGAGATGCCAGACACAGTAACAACAAAGTCTCCAATGGAGACGTTACTGGGCCCGCTCGAGCAAATCGACGATCAACGGGAGGGCCTTTACCTTTACCTTTTACCTTACATAAAGGAATAAAGTGCTGATACATTCTACAATAAGAGTGAATGTCAAAAACATTATATTAAATAATGCCAGTAATAAGAGATCCCATATTATGTGAAACCATGTATATCCTAACTAGAGGGAATAAATCCATAAAGACAAGAAGCAGACAGGCAGCTGCCAAGTCCTGGGATGATTTTTAATATATATAAAGTTCTCATCAGGAAAATAAAAATGTTTTAGAAGTAGATATAGGGGATCACGACGACCACGACCATCCTGTTATTCGTCAATTGCCTTGAGCAGGCCCCAGTAATGTCTTCTTCATCCTAGCCCTGAGATTTTTTAGAAAATGCCATATTCAAGGTTTTTCAGAGTTAGGAGAATGGACCCATCATTGTTACTGGCATTTGGCATATTGGGTACGCCACGGGGAGTTTGCCAGACTCTGCCGTGTAAGCAGGTTACATTCTGCAGCCTGCCAGTTTGTCCAAAGTAGGAATAAGATAATAAGATGTCGTGCAGCCGCAAATGTGGCCGCACACTTCCGGGATCTGGGTTTTATAGTCTCTGAGTCTTGGCCATTGATGGGATTACACGGCACCAGGGGGCCAGTTGGTGGGTGTGACCCCCACCTACTGGAATTTGGAGGATCTAGGTGGAGGATGCTCAGCCCCGATCCGAGTAGGCTTGCAGGCATGCAAGTCCCGGGACTGAGATCTCCATAGGGGATAGCTCCAAAAATTATAGCAGGATTAAATTGATTAGACTGCACATAATATAGCTAATTTTATCTTATGTAAATTTTATCGTATTTTAAAGGTTCTAAAACTGGGTCTGGCTAGAGGAAGTGATATATATAATTTGTGTAATGTATTAGGCAAATTCTCTCACAAAAACATAAAGGACTCTTATGTTATATGCATTACATGATGTTGGAAAATATCCATAAAACCATTTTTGTACATAAAATGAAACAGATAAAATTATACATTAAACACACCAAAGGTTATAAAATTTCCATCTAGAAAAAGTACATAGAATTTTTAAGGAACAAAGACCAATTAAAGTTAAATAAGAATTACTATAAAATTATAATTTTTTTAATTTTTTTTTTTTGCTTTTTGGGTCACACCTGGTGATGCTCAGGGGTAACTCCTGGCTCATGAACTCAGGAATTGCTCCTGGCGGTGCTCGGGGGACCATATGGGATGCTGGGAATCGAACCTGTGTTGGCCATGTTGGTTGCGTGCAAGGCAAACACCCTACCCGCCATGCTATTGCTCCAGCCCCCTAAAATTATCATTTTAAAGGAAAAATTTAGGGGCCAAAGATACAGTATAGGGGTTAAGGTGTTTGCTATGCACATGGCTTCATATAAGGTCCCCTGAGCATTACATTATTTCTAAAAATGAAGTAGTAATGTATTAATTCTAAAATACATTAAGTGGGGAATAAGTTTGAAAAGCATTCTTATGATAATTTTAATATTATGCATTTGAAAAATTACCTATAATAAAACATGTATTCAGTTTGAAAAATAAACTATATGACTTGGGGGCCACACGAGGCAGTGCTTAGAACTTACTCCTAATTCAGAACTGACGGATTACTCTGGCAATGTTTGGGGAACCAAATGTGATGCCATGGATTAAAGTAAGGTTGGCCGCATACAAGATCAGCACCTTCATCTCTGTACTATCTCTCAGGACCAGAAGGAATGGGTTTAAAGCAAGTCTATTCTAGAATGTTTATAGTTCACATAGCCCTAAGAAAATATAAATCATCTTCCCCCCCAAATTGAGACCATGGAAAAATTTTCTTTAATAAAATATATTTTCACAAGCAGCATCTCATTACCAATTATCTTTTCAATTGCACACACACACACACACACACACACACACTTAGAAAAGAAAACTACTGACCAGTACACTGTCCTCCGTTGGTCGGATCGCCATAATAGCCCGGCATGCAGTCTTGACACTGTTTCCCTGTGGTGAGGTTTTTACACTGTTCACACACGTTATTATTGATGCAAGTGCTGTGTCCATTACACTGGCAAGCTGAGGAGAACAGAAAAAGCATTAAAAATCCAATGTAAGTAAATTAAGGTTATCCAAGGGGTGCCCAAGTCCAAGGCCAGTTCCCATTCTATATGATAAATCCTATGTTAAAATTTGTCCTGGTGCACTGTAAATTGCAGGAATCAGAGATATGGGAAGACACAAGATTGTAGCTAAGGAGACAATACTTTTAACACAGTCCTGGAAGACTCATGTGCATTTGAAGTCAGTTATGTTGCACAAGTACCAGACCAAGTAACACAAGCCTGATAAAGAATGTTAAACTGCAGCATTCATTATACTGACACACAACAACAAAGTATTAAATATTAAAAATTGTCTGGAGATGAACAAAGGTATCGTTTTTAAATTAATTTGCAAAAATATGATTCTCCTTCATATAAGAAAAACTTCAAGGCTTAATTGAAATTCTACTTGAATGTAAAATAAACAGACTGACTTAAAGCATGATTAATTTATGTCTTCATAATATGAACATTTTGATATTAATATTTTAGCAGAATCTACACATTTCAGCCAAAAGATAAAGTACATGCCTTTAGCACCTATTTGAGAAATAATAATGACTTGAGAACGACTTGTCCAAAAATATCATCAAATAGTAACCTTCATTGTCATTTTTGTCGGTATTACAACGAATTCAGAATTAAACTAGAGTTCTCTCTCACCTTAGTCAGTGAAGCTAATGCTTGGGAAATTCTAAATCTATGGCCGATATCTACTCTGTTTAATTCAGTGTACTTATGGCAACAGTTTTAAAATACTGTGATTACCAACCACTCCAAATAGTGCAGCAGGTAGGACATGTGAATTTTACCATTTAACTATCACGACAGTTCTTTGCAGAGTACTCTGGTCCTAAAATGAGGATACCTGATTAGGCAACCATGTGAATTCACATAATCAATTGCAGCATCAAATGCATAGCGAGGAAATACACATCAACAAAACAGAGACCAGGTGAGAAAAGTTTAAAGTGAAAGTGAAATCCCAAAGACTGATATAAGTTTACCAACCAAAGTTAACATTAAAACATGAAGAAATATCAGGGGGAAACAGGCTAAAACCAGATACCTACACCTATAAAACTGTTCAAAGGCAGAGCTCTAATATATTTTATTTATTTTTAATAATAATTATATAAGTATAATTATTAATTTATGTTTGAATTATATAAATTTTAATAATATAAAATATTTTATATTAATCTGTATTAAATTATTTATTTATACTAAATAATTGGTTTAGATTAAAACTATACAAATTTAAAAGTAATATAAAATATTTATATTTTAATTATATCTAATTATTTCTAATAATACAGAAAGGAAATGACATTATTTCAGGAAAAAAAGACTTCAACAACCACAATCATCTTTGCAAATCATCAGGAAATTTTAATCCAGGTTATAAATTTCACATTTTATTAGGAAACAAACATGAGAAAAATTAATAACAAGGGAAAATGTTCATGCTAAAGTAATTGAAACAAACTTAATTAAAATCATCACAATTTTGTTTTTAAATATTTTAGATATATAAATGTTTAAATATATAAATATAAATACACAAATGTGGTTGTCTGAGTTTAGACGTATTTTTCTGTGCCATAATTTGAGATTCATATTAGCTCTATAACATAAAAACCATTCTTAAGAACTTTAACATTCTGCCTAAAAACTTGTTATTGTTTTATAGAAAATGTTGTCTCTAACACCACTAAATAATTCACTTGTTACAAACAAAATTTATTGAACTCCCACAATATTCAAAGCATTGCCTGAAAAGGACAAAATAGAAAGTGTGCTATTGTAAGCATTTCATATATGCCTTCTTAACGAATGTTCATCTAAAATACCAGGACTTTATCCTCTGAATAAGATGACATTTAGCAATTATATCCAATACCCTTCCCACAGATTATCACTGAAATAATAAAATTTGCAAGCAATAATAGAAATTTTTGTGATGGCAGTAACTAGTAAATGAATAAAACAAAACTAGAAAGCAGTAACCTATAATACTTCTGGGCAAAAAAAAAAAAACCTTGGGGCAAATCCCAATTGTAACGTCCCGTGGAATGCCGCTCAACCATCTTTCTCGGAACATTAAACATTCTAAAGGCATTCTAGGCTATAGGACGAACAGGACCTCAATTTATTATTAGAATGCCTCAAAGAGCAGCTCAGAAGTGTGACACAGAGCAATCGATGTTCCATGAAGCAGATAAACACAAAGAAATCTGGTATCACTTCAACCTAACTGTTGGCAAATTTTCCACACAAGGTAAAAAAAGAAAAAAAAGACAGTCAGTGTCATAGCTTCTAGCTCTGAAGTCAGCTATGGGCAAAACGATATTCAGTTTCAGAAAGTAAAGTAGTTGGGGAATAACAGTTCTATCTAACACTGACAATTAAAGAACAACACAGTGGTTAAGCCTGTGATTTTGTTGCTCCACAGACATCAGGGTGTTGGATCAACAGGTCTTTCATCTAGTAGCTCTCACAGGGATTCTAAAGTACTCTGGCTGTGGAACACAAACTAAACTACAGGGATTCTAAAACACTCTAGCTGTGTAACACAAACTAAACTAAAGAGAAGTGATCCCTGGGGATCTATCTAAACTTTAAAACCAGCCCCACTCCGATGGCCCTTCATGTATAGAAACATAAGGAAAACCTAATAAAAACTCAATATTTGATATGTCAATACACAGCCTATAAAATAGATTTAAGGAATTTAAGAGTGTTTGCGTATGTTCTCAATAAAATTCAAAACTACATAGTCAGAAAATCACAGCTAAAATATGTCTAATATGTTTGCCTACACAGAGCCTACCTTAAAAATAGAGGGAATTAGGTGCTTAGAAATCACCATCACTATCACCCCGTTGTTCATCAATTTGCTCGAGCAGACACCAATAATGTCTCCATTCATCCCTGTGCTAGTGTAGCCTGATGGCATATTGGGGGCTCTTTCAGAGACAGGGGAATGAGGACCATCATTGTTACTGTTTTCGACATATTGAGTACGCCATGGGTAGCTTGCCAGGCTCTGCCATGTGGGCGGGATACTCTCCGTAGCTTGCCAGTCTCTCCGAGAGGGATGGAGGCTTTTGGGGCAGCCTCTAATCACCTTTACAGGTGTTCCCAGTCAGGCATATATGTGGGCAAGATACTCTCGGTTGCCTGCCGGGTTCTCTGAGAGCAAGAACTAGACAATAAGGGTCGGGTGGCCGCATTCGCATTCGCAGCTTCCGAGAGCTGGGTTTGGGGTTACATGGCAGTTGGTGGGTGTAACTTCTAGCTTTTAAATACGGTTCCTACATTTTACATCACACAGACTGCTTTTCAACTGTTTGTCTTCTAAAAGGTTGCCTTCAGCAACAATAAAAGTTCCTCTGAAAAACCCTTTCAAACAAAATTTAATCGCAGTTTGTCATTCAAATAACAAAAACTGCCCCAATATTTGATTAATACTTGCATTTTCAAATAGGAATCTAGACAAGGAATGGTCTTTTGGCCTTGTTTGGGGAAAATATCTAAAATATCTACTCATCAATACGTCACAAATATTTTGGTAGAGACCAAACTGTGTTTTGTTTGTACCAGTACATACAATGGGTAATCAAAGGTTAAATACGTTCCCTAACACAACTTTTTCTTTGGAAAGGGAGATCACACCTGGTGATACTCAGAACTTATTTCTGGCTCTGTGTTGATCACTCCTGATGGGTGCTTAGAAATAAAGCAAGAAATTAAAAAACAATGGGAAAAGAAGTTTGACCAAGTGGTCAAATTTTACTAGATGTGGGATAGGCACAAGAGTTGGTATGAACTTCAAAACCCATTCAGACTGGAACGTAATATTGCAAGTATCCTTAAAGAAGATAGCTAAACCAAACCATATTCATAATGCTTGGGAACCTGAAGCTGCAATCTGTTGTTTTTTTTTTTAAAAAATACTAAAACATATCACTACTCAAAAGAAGTATAAAGGAAACTGAAATCTACTGGGGGGATGTAGAAAGGAAAAGTCACCTGTGAGAAATAAAACCCTAAGCCAGGCCTATTGGTTAGCTTGAAGTACACATTTTCCATATGACGACAAAAGCTCAACATCAAACATTAATATAAATTGTGTTTTGTAAGCAAGAAAATCTTCAAATGTCTTGCAAAGTAGATATAAAATTAGATACTCAAAGCAGATGTAAATTGATGTAAATAGACACCCCATTACCTCAAATCTTATAAATATGTCACAGAAAAAAGACCAGGCAATCTTTTTTCTATAAAGAGACAAATAAGTATTGAGTGTTTGATCCTGGTTGAGGTTATAATGCCTACCATAGTTACTCATGTTTCCCACTGCAGAGCAGAAGTAATGAATCATTGCAACTGAGCAAAGATGGATACTTCATTAAAAGACAATGAACCTGATCTGGCCTGCAGCGTTAGTTTGCCAAGCTCTGACAGTGGGCAGAGACATTTTCAGTTGCCAACAAGTATATAATAAAATAAAATAAAATATCTTTATTAGTTATCAGGGAAATGCAAATCCAAACAAAGAGGGATCACTCACACCAGCAAGAGGGTTTATAACAGTAAGCCCACAAGCAGTAAGTGTTGGTCGGGATGTAGTGGAAAAGTGGAATGTAGTGGATATAGTGGATGTAGTGGAATTCACTGTTTGGGCCGGAGTGATAGCATAGCAGGTAATGCCTTGCCTTGCATGCGGTTGACCAAGGCCCAGGCCCCAACATCCTATATGGTCTCCCAAGCCTTCCAGGAGTAATTCCTGAATGAGGAAACAAGGAGTAACCCCTAAGCATCACCATGGTACAAAACAAAAAAGAAAGAAATTTATTCATTGCGGGTGAGGCTGGTGTCTGGATCAGCCCTTTCGGAAAATGGCTGGAGATGTCCCACAATATTTAAAATAGAAAAGATAGTGCATCAGGTAAGCCAATGGCCTAGCAT